CACGTGATACTGTCTTTTATCTATCTTATATAATCGAATTATTTTTAAAAATATGGCTCATTATCTAAAAACTACTCAACTTTGCTGAGGTATATGGTATATATAAATGCAAATTTAAAAACATTTCGGTTCTGTTTATTCAGTGAATGACACTCAGACCTACGTGGCAGAAGATCATGCAGCTTGAAAGTTTCCATCTACTGATGAAAGATACTCTCTAGAACTTGTCAGATCTTTGAAACTTGGAATATATTGCTTTCATATGAAGTTTATTGCCTCCCTGAAGTGTCTAATTTTTTCAAGTTTGTAAGTTTACTGCGGTTTTAACATTGGGTGTTTTTGTTGTTTTGTTTTTGCTATAAAAAGATAGTTTAAAGAAAAGCAAGATTCTGTTAAACCTCCTCACCGCCGCCCCCTCCCTATTTTCTCTCTCCTCTACCCTGTCCTTTCTCTTGGATCCAGAATTTCCCAGGTGCAGCCAGTCGATGCCGGGGTCTTCACCTGTGTGGCTGCGAGCTCCGCTGGTGTGGCAGACAGGAACTTCACTCTGCAGGTGCACAGTATGGAGCAGGGGGTGAGCAAAGGGGGTCTTGGCCTTGGCAAGTGAGAGTCCAGGCCCTGGGCCCCTCTGCTAGCTAACGGAAGTGTCTTTGGTTCACTGGGGCGCGCATTCATTCCTCTCCCAACTGCGTCTGGTGTGCTGGGGACACGGGACAGGTGGGGAACAGAGTGGCCCCTGCCTGCCCTCAGGAGGCCAGTGGGGAAACAGCTCTGTAAGGGACAATCGTGATTCCAGGCAACTAGTGACACCAGAGGACCGACAGGATGCTGTGGGAGCACAGAGGAGGGTATCTCAACTGGCCTGGGGGATCCGGGGAGGCTTCCCCGAGGAGGTGAGGTCTGTGCTGAGTACCAGCGATGAGAAGGACTTGTTTAGGTCAGAGGCATTCTGGCCAATAGGAACAACTCATGCAAAGGTCCTGGGGCCGCTTGTCATGGAACTAAGGGGCTCCTGCCCGGCTTGTCGCCCTCCACAGTGCCACCCATCCTGGAGCCAGTGGAGTTCCAAAATGACGTGGTGGCAGTCCGCAGCTTGCCAGTGGCCCTCCCATGCGAGGCCTGGGGCATCCCCCAGCCCCTTGTGTCCTGAATGAAGAACGGGGAGCCCCTGTTGTCTCAGGGCCTCAAGCAACGTCCCAGCCTGCAGCTGGAGACAGTGGGAGCCAGGGACGTGGGAACCTACTCCCGCCTGGCTGCGAGCGAAGCGGGGGAGGCCAGGAGGCATTTCCAGCTGACCATCATGGGTGGGTCCTCAGACGGCTTCTCCAGCTGGGGGCGGGGGAGGTTCTAGGGGCAACAGTGAGGGAGGTTAGTTCCCAGCTGGGAGCGGGCCTCAGAGACCAGGTTGGTTATGAATGGAGGACATCACTGGTCTGGCCTGTGGGGAGAGGGTGGCCGAGATGTCTGATCTTCTTGGGGCTGTGTCCTGTCTTGTCCACCTAACCTTGGTGGCAGAAGCAAGAGCTGCTGAAATCTGGGGGCAGAGGCCCGAGACTCAGCACCACATCAGCAAGTGTCAGAGTGGCGAAATGGGTGTCGGTTGTGTGTCCCCCTCCATCCCACGTCCTCGCTGGCTTTAAAGTACAAGTGAGCCGGGTGTGGTGACTCACGCCTGTAATCCCAACACCTTGGGAGGCCAAAGCAGGAGGATCTCTTGAACCCAGGAGTTCAGGACCAGCCTGGGCTACATAGTGAGACGCTGTTTCTACGAAGAAAATTTAAAAATTAGCTGGGTGTGGCGGCACACACCTGTAGTTCCAGCTACTTGGGAGTTTGATGCAGGAGGATTGCTTGAACCCAGGAGTTGGAGGCTGCAATGAGCCTGACCGTGCCATGGCACTCCTGACTGGGCAACAAACAGAGTGACACCTTGACTCAGAAGAACAAAATACAGTAAAGCACAAATAATCGTCCCTGGAAGATGGGTCCACGGTTTCTGAGGTTTCCAGGCCCTTCTGACACCACCCCCTTCTCCACTCCTCACCCCATCTGCTGCCCGCATCTGGAAGGTGGGGTGGGGACACAGGAGAAACCCCAGCCCACAGCGCCCCGGGCCAGGGCAGACCCACCCCTGGGTGTCTTGCAGAGTCCCCCCACACCGAGGCCACGGGCCAGTCTGCGGAGCTGTTGCCCACCCCCGGAACCCTCATGGAGCTCCTCTGTGATGCCCGGGGCACCCCCCAGCCCAGCGTCACCTGGCATAAGGACCGGTAGGCCCTGAGCAGGGCAGAGGACAGCAGCAGAGCCAGGCGGGTGCTCCTGGTGGAGGACATTCAGGTGCTGGTGCCCGGCCCAGGGGTGCGAGGTGAGACCGGGGGATGGGGGTAGAGCTGCGGCTTCCCCAGGCCCAGCGGGCAGTGGGCAAGGCTTGGCTGAGCTCCTCCTCAGGGTCAGGGCCCAGGCGGATGCCAAAACCAGGACACTCCCCATCCAGGCCAGAGGAGCAGTCAAGGGGGATTTCCTGGAAGAGACAGGCCTTGCACCAGCCCCAAAGCAAGAATGAGATGGAGGGAGAGACTTCCAGAGAGGGGCATGGCTTGGCTGGGAAGGCAGATGACAGACTTCGCAGCCTGAGTTTGAATCCTGGGTCCCTAGCTGCATAGGAAGGAAAACAGGACAGGAGGTGGAACCAGCGCCCGAGATCGAGGGGCAGTGAGACGGCGTCCTGCTGCAGGTGGGCGCCAGGCAGAGGACCCCAGGGCGCTGCCTTTTGTCTCTCACAGGCCCCAGACCCTGAGCAAGCCAGATCCCGGGTGCCAAGGGCTGCTCTGAGCAGCACTTTGGGACATCCCCCACCGCTGTGGTTATTGGCATCCCCATTTTACAGATGGGGACACTGAGGCACAACTCTGGGCGCACAGGGTTGCTGAAGCACATCCCAGTGTTCTTGCCACAGTTCCTTCAAGTTATACAGAGTGGCCGTGTGTCCTGGGGCCAGTGACTGAGCCTCTCTGTGCTCATCCCTCAAACGGGACCAGCTTGCTCCTGTGGACTCACGGACTGTACATTTGGCTCTAGGGACGGGGGGCCCATTTCCTCCTGGAAGAGCGTTTGTCTCCTCAGCTGGGCACTGAGGCCAGCCTCGAATGGAGGCCACCGCCCAGCCTCCCAGGTTCCTTGGTGTCTGGGGACTGATGGGCATCTCTCCCCCTGTGGGCTCTGCTGGCGGACGCCCACACCCAGTTCCCCAAGCAGGGCAGGTTCCTCCAGCTCCAGGCCCTAAGCGCGGTGGACAGTGGCGACTACAGCTGCACAGCCCGCAACGCTGCAGGCAGCACCAGCGAGGCCTTCCGCGTGGACATCCACAGCGAGTGTGGCCCGCCCGTCCCCCCACCCCCACAGAGCCACAGGCTCCCCGCCCCACTCCCTCCGTGTCCCTCCCCGGCGGTGCCCACCATCCAGCTGGTCCACGGTGAACGCATCAGCCAACCAGACGGCCCTGCGGCCCTGTCAGGTCAATGGCACACTCCCGCCCTTCGTGAGCTGGTGGAAGGACAGAGCCCCCTGGGATCCCGGGAGCCCCAGGTGGGAGCTGGGAGGAAGGGAGGGTCTCGGGTGCCTCTGCGGGTCGTGAACGGACACCCACTTGGGCAGTTGGAGCTGAAAAGCGACGTTATCATCAGGACATGGGTGGCTCTCAGAACACGAGGACGGGCCAGCCACTCGCTGAGGGCTCTTGCAAATCTCTTCTGTGTGTGGGTTTCATGTCTTTTTCTTTCTCTCTCTCTCACATTCTTCTGCGAACATGGCAAAATGCCCCCGACACCGCTACGGCCCCCAAGATTGCAGCTCCTTCAGCTCATATCCTCTGTGGAGCCTAGCAAGCTATCTGGGAACCCATTTCCAAATTCCCAGGGCAGAGAATGCCACTGGCCCAGCCTGAATAACGTGCACATGCCCAGGCCAATCAGCTGTGGCTGGGGGCGGGATTGCACAGTATGGACATGGCCCTTGGCAAGGGCATTTCTCAGACCCAGAGGCCACCCTCAGAAGGAGTTGGGGGGCCGCTGCCCGCTGCCTTTCAGGAGAGGACAGACCCAAGCGGGAGCATGGAAGGCCAAAGCAGACCCTCTCTGGATCTTTCTAATGCTGGCTCAGGAGGTGGGGAACGGCCCATGGCTGTGAACTTGACCTTGGGGACGGAGGACTCTGACTCCAGAGTTAGCCTTCTCTTGCTGGGAGAATGGGGGCCAGAGGGAGCTTGCTGGGACAGCCCCTCTCAGGCCCCAGTGGCCTGCCAGTCTCCGTGGCAACACCTCCCTCATTCCAGGTTGGAAGCTCTGCCCAAGGGTTCCCTGAGGATCCAGCCAGTCCTGGCCCAGGACGCCGGCCACTACCTCTGCCTGGCGTCCAACTCCACCAGCTCTGATCAGCAAGGCTGTGACTTCTAGGTCTCGGGAGGTGGGCCAGAGAAGGGCGTGTTCCCCACCTTCAGCATCCAGTCCCTGCCAGGGTCCAGTCCTGCCTAGCATCTGGTCAACCCAGCTGTCAGGAACCAAGAGCAGCGGCCTTCAAATGGCTTATGAAGCCCAACAGTAAAAGTTTTGGGTCAGGCACGGTGGCTCGTGCCTGTCATCCCAGCACTTTGGGAGGCTGAGGCAGGAGGATCGCTTGCGCCCAGGAGTTCAAAACCAGCCTGGGAAACATAGCGAGATTGTGACTCTACAAAAAAATTTTAAAATTTGCCAAGTGTGGTGGCATGCACCTGTAGTCCCAGCTACTTGGGAGACTGAGGCAGGAGGATCACTTGAGCCCAGAAGCTTAAGGCTGCAGTGAGCTATGATTGTGCCGCTACACTCCAGAGTGAGAGCCTGTCTCAAGACAAAGCAAAATCACTCGAGTCAGAGGCTAGAATCTCCCTCACTCTAATGGGAGGCCACACTGGTAGGCATGAGCCTCAGTGGAGGCCAATGGGCCAGGGAGAGGTGGGGCAGGGGTGCCAGGGTTGGGATGAGCTCCAGGAGACTGTGGGAGCCTCTCCCTTGGGAGTGTCCCCGGCCCCTCCCTCTCTGCACCCTTGGGGATGGGTTGGTGGTGGTGGCCCTGGCTTGGCCTCTGGGCACAGCCTCAGAGCTCTCAGCCACACCCCTCCTGCTCCTGTCTCCTGACCACTGCCCCCTCCCCGGAGCCTCTGGCCATCGCCCCGGGCCCCTCCAACCTGACCCTGACCGCCCACACTCTGGCCTCGCTGTCCTGTGAGGCCAGCGGCTCCCCCAAACCTCTGGCAGTCTGGTGGAAGGATGCACAGAAACTGGACTTCCGCCTGCAGCAGGGCGCCTACTGGTAACCAGCTGGTCTTCGAGGTGGCTTCCTGAGACACTCAGGGTGGGGGGCGGGCCAGGCTCACCGAGGGGGCGGAATGCACTTGGGTCTCAGGACCAGAACTTGTGTCTCAACCCTGGGGGCTGGGAAGGAGGTGGGGGTGAGGGCATGGGGGAAATACAACCAAACAGAGAACACATTTGACTTCTGTGTCCATCACAGTCACTACTTGTCTAAAAACAAAATGTAGGGCTGGGCACAGTAGCTCATGCCTGTAATCCCAGCACTTTGGGAGGCTGAGGCAGAGGACTGCTTGAGGCCAGGAGTTCGAAAGCAGCCTGGGCAACAAAGTGAGGCCTTGTCTCTAGAAATAAATAAAAATTAGCCGGGCATGGTGGCTCACACCCGCAGTCTCCACTACTCAGGAGATTGAAGAAGGAGGATCGCCTGAGCCCAGGAGGTCAAGGCTGCAGTGAGCTGTGATCGTGCCACTGCACTCCAGCCTGAGTGACAGAGTGAGACTCTGACTCAAAAATAAAATAAAAAAAATACAAACAGATCGTGAAACCCTGAGCTCGTGCCACTGAGTCTGGGCACGTGACCACTCAGGGAGCTTCGGTCTCTCAAATTCTCAGAGGCAGCTGATCGTTAAATGACCACCGGGAGCACTGAAGGAGTCCAGTCAGCAGTGAGTTCCCCGAATCTTGGTTGTGTTGAGTACCAGGCCGTCACGGAGCTGATATCAGAACAGACGCTCAGTGAGCCGGAGATTTCTAACTGGGAACGTGACTGTGCTTACTGTTATACAAATGATCGTAGATGGTGGTTGCAGCAAACTCACAGGGTCATAGAGAAACAGGGATAGCCGGGCGTGGTGGCTCACACCTGTAATCCCAGCACTTTGGGAGGCTGAGGCAAGAGGATTGCCTGAGCCCGCAGGTTCGAGACCGGTCTGGGCAACCTGGCGAGACCTCCTTTCTATAGTAAATCAAAAAATGAGCTGAGTGTGGGGGCGTGCGCCTATAGTCCCAGTTACTCAGGAGGCTGAGGTCGGAGGATTGCCTGAGCCCAGGAGGTTGAGGCTGCAGTGCCCATGATTGTGCCACTGCACTCCAGCCTGGGCAACAGAGAGAAACCCTGATTACAAAAAAGAAAGAAGGAAAGAGACACAAGGAGGAAAATGCAAATCACCCGCAAACCCAACAGCCAGGCTCTTAGGGGTAAAAACTTCTTGAAGACACTCCTAGAGTCAGGCCTGGGGCCTAGATACAGGAAGGGGAAATGGTTGTGAGACCCCCCCCTCAAGTCGAGGCTGCCTGACAGGAAGGCCATGGCCGGCTTGGGTCAGCCCAGCAGGTCACCAGCCGCCTGTCTGTCCGTCCCAGGCTCCTGCCCTCCAATGCCTGCTCCTGCGGCCCCAGGACTCCGCCCAGTTTGAGTGTGTGGGGAGCAACGGGTGGGTGAGGCCCGGAGCTCGACCAGGTGACCGTCCTAGGTGAGTCGGGGCAGGAGGTGAGGAGGCTCCGGGTGGGGGCAGTGCCTTCCCGTTCTCGGGGGCTCTCCTGCCTGCAGGGAACTGGCTGACTCCTTCCAGCCTTCCTCCGTTGCATAGAACCTCCTCCAGGAAGCCCGCTTGAATCCTGCGTTCGCTCACTCACATAACCCTAGCTCCAAAGCAGCTCCTGGAACATGGGACCTCACAGGAGAGGCCCCTCCCCAGTCCAGAATGTTCTAAACCCAAATTTGACATCATCACCCAGTTAAAAGTCGCTCCCTCTACGGCTGCCCACTGCCCTGAGGATAGAATGCAGGATTTCACCTGGGCCTGCAGCGTCCTATGGTCTGGCCCAGCTAACCCCTCCGCGCCCCCCTCAGCTCACCCCAGGCCTGCCTCGTGCTGGGGTCCAGTGGTGCGGCTCAGCTTTCTGTTCCTTGCCTCAGGCCTTTGCACATGCTGTTCCCTTCTGTCAGGCACTTCCCTCCCCCCAGGCAACACCTGCTTTTCCTTCAGGTCTCAGGTCAAACACTGCTTCCCCCAGAGGTCTTCTCTGGCCTCCCCGACTCTGAGCAGGATAATTCCCACAAAACCCCTTCTCTCGTGGAATTGCATTCTGTGAAGTACGGGACCGGCATCTCTATAGAAAGCTGTCCGTGGTCGGGTGTGGTAGCTCATGGCTGTAATCCCAGCACTTTGGGAGGCCGAGGCAGGAAGATCACTTGAGCCCAGGAGTTCGAGACCAGCCTGGGGAGCATAGCAAAACCTCATCTCTACAAAAAAATAAAAAATAAATTATCTAACCATGGTGGCGTGCATCTGTAGTCCTAGCTACTCAGGAGGCCGTGGTGGGAGGATTGCCTGAGCCCAGGAGATGGGGGCTGTGGTGAGCGGTGGTTGTGCCACTGTATTCCAGCTTGGGGGATAGAGTGAGACCCTGACTCAGAGAGAGAGTTCAAAGAGAGAGAGAGGAAGGAAGGGAGGGAGGAAGCTGTCTGTGACTGTCTTTGTGCCCCACCTGCTTGCTGAGTGGGCGAATGTGGCTTCTCCTCTGGTGCCCTGCTTCCCGCCCCGGCCCTTGTGTCCTAGCCTCCTCCCCCACCATGGCCATGAGTTCTCGGGTGCCCCAGGAGGGCCCCTCAAGCCTCGTCCTGGCTTTTAGTGGCCCCCACCATCGCCAACTACCAGACCGACTTCACGGTAACCAGGATGGTGAGAGGACAACAATAGATTTAGGTTAAGGGCATGCTATTGAGAGACCCAGGAAACCAAGAAACTTATTTGCTGTAAAAGTAGCATTTAGTTCACTATATTTCATATATCCCCACCTCATGTTTACTATATTTTTGTGTATTCCTACCTCATGTATTTTATGAAATTTTAGTACTTTAAATCCTACCTCAGACCCCGTAGAATTAGGCATATGTCGGGTTTTAAGCAGTGTTTGTATTTAGAACTCTTGGGTTAAGCATTGTCAGCCCCAAATTAGCAGGCTAACTTATGCTTTTACAACAGGGATGTAAATGATAAAGCGATAAGCCCCTTTCAGACATTCCTACAAGGTGGCAGCAGACTCAGAGGCGCCAGCTGCTCTCTATCACTGGTTTTTATCCCAGTGATAATTTACACGCAGTGGCTATGTAAACCTGCAGGGAACAAAGACTTTTATAAAAGTAACCGCCTTGCTATAATAAGCTTGTGATATTTTATAAATTCCCAGAATTAGTATATGATTTTCTACCCCACATTCACTGTATGGGTTTGCAGCATTGATATTTAAAACTTTGTTAAGTTTGGCTTTTGTTGTCCCATAATGACCATGTTATGTTATGTAAATGTTAAGCAAACAAGCTTTCCTAAGCATACCTTGGGATGGAAACTTAAAGGGCTAATGTAACCCTTTGCCTGCCGGCTCAGGTTACTTCATATGCAGGGACTGCATGGACCTAACTTATCTAACATTCCACTCTGCCCATTAAGTGGGTTTCTGTCAATCACGGGCAGCACCCACCAATACCAAGTGTTCCCGTACCCATTAGGAGAAATTACCCAATCATGTAAAATCAAGTTTAAAGTTCTTTCCCCTCCCTCTGTAATTGTGCATAACAACTGCTTGCCATTATGAATCAGGGCTCTCGTCCCTGAAGCTGCTGCTTCGGGCGTGAGCCCAGACTCGAGGCTGAATAAAGACCCTCGTGTGTTTGCATCGGAGCTGGCTCTTTGTGGTCTCTATCTCTCGCATTAGAGTCCCGGGTTCAACATCCCTCATACAGCAAGGGGAATAGGCCCAGAAAACAGAGGATGTGTGACTGCACTCATTCAAATACAAAATGTGGCTGATCTTGCTCAAAGAGTCTTCTGATGATGGTGAGTTTCAGTATTTTTGGTTAGAAATGACCAATTGGTCTCTTACTCTTATTAGTATATAGAGCTGTACATGTCACATGCTCAATAAGTTGCCTGTGGCTCAATAAAGTCTATGGCTACTAATGTTAAATATCAGACATTTGGTTGGTTCAGTTAACACTTTGTAATTTTCCTCATTGAGATAATTTTCAATAAAAAACTCAGTACAAAGATAATAAAGA